CTCTACAGAGCTCATGTTTCTTGTTATGCAATGTATACAATGCCGACTTTAAATAAAAATTTACTTACTTATGCTTATTTTATATGGAAATTGAAAAGTTCTACGAATTTCGGGAGAAATATTTAAACTATAATCCAGAAAATTTAGAGTAGAAAAGTAAGAAAGCAAAAATTTGTATAAAATGATAAATTGTGAAAATATTTTAATCACGTACATGAGTTTACAGAATCATTTGGGGTCATTCTAGCTGCAGATCTGTAGCTCTCCAAAAAATAATTTGACAGACCGTAGAGCTACAGTGCCACCCATTGAAAAAACTGTATATTTATTGCGCACAAAAAAGTGCGCTGTTTATCAATTTATTTCTCTATGTTTTTAAAACTAAAACCTCAAAATATTACTAAACGTGTATTCCTAACATAATCTTTCACTGCTTCCACAACAAAACATACATTATAGTTGTTGTATATAGCCCTCCTGGCCCTGAAATCGAGATCATCGAAAATTTCGTCTGTTTATACTGCCATTTTGATTTGTAAGATAAATCGGCCCAACGCGTTTCGTGTAGATGTCAACTACGAAAGTACTTGATAGAAGAGTACGGAATGTTTTGAAATCTAAAGTTTTTGCAATTGAGGTAAGAATTTGGAAGAATTAATCCATACACAAGCGCAACTTTTTGTGCGCAATAAATATACAGTTTTTTCAATGGGTGGCACTGTAGCTCTCCGGTCTATCAATGTATATTTTTCGGAGAGCTACAGTTCTGCAGCTAGGGTCATTCAGAGCACTTGAGAAACTTATTGCACGGGTTACCAACAAGATCCTCTTGCTTTGAGTCCACTAAATCGGGATCGAGATTCAATTTTTTGGTAAACAAATAAACAAAGTCTGAAACAGTGAGGAGAAAGCGATCATTTATCTTTTAGGCTGAATCTGTTATCAGATACAAGAAAAACTGTCAAAATGAACGGTATTTTTATACATTTTATTACCTGTAGTTAATTATTTTAGCCTACATTGTTTCACTGGATCTCTGCAACAACACTGACAGTCGCGATCGCGTGACAGGAAGTGTCTGGCGGATTTCCAATTTTCGATAGGCTATCTTTGTTTTTTGTATGATGTTTAAAAACTGTAAATATTGACTGTATAATATCAATAGTCATTGCAACGAAAAGCTGTGTACTACAGAAACAGATGAAAGTTATCTTGATGCATGTAATTTGCTTCATTGTCGTTGTTGAGTATAATTTGTGTTGCAGTTTTTATACGCCCGTCTTAAGACGGGACGTATTATGTTATAGGCTTCGTGTCCGTCCGTCTGTCCGTCTGTCCGTCTGTCTGTTAGCTTTTTCGTTTCCGGCTCATAACTTTAATACTACTAGGCCTAGGATTACCAAACTTTGTCATCTGATGCATCTTGGGTAGAAGGTGTGTCGCACACAAAAAGTAGGTCGCTCTGACCTTTAATTAAGAAGTTATAGCCAAATATGGAAAAATCCTTTCCGGCCCATAACTAGAAAACCATAAGACCTACAATCATCAAACTTGGCCAGTTTATGCATCTTAGGTAGAAGGTGTGTCGCGACCTATTTCAAGGTCACTGTGACCTTTAATTTAAGTGGATTTTTAAAAAAAAAATGTGTCTTTTTACTATTCATTTACACATCCTAAATAATGTAAGAGTATTGCACTGTTCTTATTAAAAAAGTGTTAAATCAAGAAAATACTTATTTTTTTTTAAGCATATACTTGACAGCAATCTAAAACAAATATAATGTATGTTAGAGAAATCCCATGTCTCCCATGAGTGTAATTATCAAGCACTGGTCAAGAAGAATTTTGATAACAGAAAATTGCATGTCAAATTAGAGAGAAACTAGTGCTAATTGTAACGGGGACCGTTACAGATGTTCCCCAAACGCTCCCCAACTACCTTTTGGTGCCATATTCCCTGTAAGCTTCATTAAATAAGACAAACTCTATGCATCTGAGATTTTAACAACATTTACAAAGAAGTGTACAAAAATCATTTAAACTTTAGCATTGCACGCGTGCACATGTGAATGCATTTGCGTCATGACCATATCATCTTGTCTACACAATCTATATTTTTAATACACTGAATATTAAAGTATTTAATCCAAAATTATTTAAAAAATACGCTCATTCAAGTGTATGTTTGATTTTACTCATTTCACGTGCACGCACGTGTATACATGAGCATGGTGACCATACCTTCTTGTAGAAGTCCATTACATCTATCTATGTTCTAAATTCCACCCCGTTTGGGTGAAAACTAAGGGAGTTATAGCTGTTTAAACTTTCAGCCAATCAGATTGCAGCACATGTACACGCATGTGTATGCATGTGCATGGTGACCATACCTACTTGTAGAAGTCCATTATATCTATCTATGTTCCAAATCCCATCCTGTTTGGTTGAAAACCAAGGGAGTTATAGCTGTTTAAAGTTTCAGCCAATCAGATTGCAGCGCACGTGCATGCACGTGTTTTCATGATAATTTCTTTTATTTCATGTTGTAGGATATTCTAATGCATGGCTATGTTCAAAATTTCAAAGGATTTCGTCAAACAACAAGAAAGATATTGAGACTTTAGTTGCAGCCAATCAGAGCGAAGTGCACGTGCATGCGCGTGAGATCTTGCTATTTTCACCATGTCGTCATGTCTATACTACTAATATATCCTCACATTATGAGCTTCAAAGCATTTCATCTAAAAATAGAACAGTTGTGGCTATATCTACTATATTGGTCATTTCACGTGTTGCACGTGCACGCTCTTGCAAGCACGTGCGCGCAAAATGACCTTGATTCCGCAAATCTACATAACATGTCTACTAACCCTAAAAAGGTTTTACCTATATCGGACGAACAGTTTACAAGATCATTCCCGGACAAAAAAGTTCCAGGAAGAAGAAGAAAAATAATAATAATAATAACTAGGGCTAATTGTAACGGGGACCGTTACAGATGTTCCCCAAACGCTCCCCAACTCCCTTTTGGTGCCGTATTCCCTGTAAGCGCTATTAAGTAAGACACACTTTATGCAATTTAGACTTAAACAACGTTTTCCCAGAAGAATACAAAATGTATCTAAATTTTAGCATTGCACGCGTGCTCATCTGAATGCATGAGCGTAATGACCACATCATCTTGTCTACACTATATATATATATATTTTAATATACTTAATAACAAATCAATTAATCCAGAAGTATTAGAAAATACACTCATTTAAGCGTATTTTAATATTACTCATTTCACATGCACGCACGTGCATGCACGTGCATGAGGACTATACCTTCTTGTAGGAGTCTATTATGTCTGTCTATGTTCTAAATCCCATCCTGTTTGGTTGAAAAACAAGGGAGTCATAGCCATTTCCAGTTTTAGCCAATAAGATTGCAGCACACGTGCATGCGCGTGTTTTCACGACAATTGTTATATATCATATTGTAGTACATCCTAAAGTATGTATATATTTAAGATTTCATAGCATTTCGTCAAAAAACAAAAAAGATATTGAGATTTTTGTTTCAGCCAATCAGAACGAAGCGCACGTGCATGATGACCATACCTTCTTGTAGGAGTCTATTATATCTGTCTATGTTCTAAATCCCATCCTGTTTGGTTGAAAAATAAGGGAATTATAGCCATTTCAAGTTTAAGCCAATCAGATTGCAGCGCACGTGCATGCGCGTGTTTTCATGACAATTTTTATATATAATATTGTAGAACATCCTAAAGTATGCCTATATTTTAAATTTCATATTATTTCGTCAAAAAACAGAAAAGATATTGAGATTTTTGTTTCAGCCAATCAGAGCGAAGCGCACGTGCATGCGCGTGAGTTCGTGCTAATTTGACAGTGTCATATTATCTACACTATTAATATATCTTTATATAATGAGTTTCAAATCATTTAATTAAACAATGTAAAAGTGATAGCGATATTAAGTATATCGGTCATTTCTCTCATTTCACGCGCACGCACGTGCATGCGTATGCGCGCAAAATGACCTTCGTTCCGCACACCTACACTACACACCTATTAACCCTAAAAAGGTTTTAGCTTAGTTGGGTGAACAGTTTCTGAGAACACTCGCGGACAAAAAAGTACCGGAGAACAAAGAAGAAAAAAAGAATAATAATAATAATAATAATAAGAAACCGAGTAAAAACAATATGTTCCCAAACTCCGTTTGGGGAACATAATAATAAGAAACAGAGTAAAAACAATATGTTCCCCAACTTCGTTTGGGGAACATAATTAATGGGTTTTGAGTGCGAGGAGCTATTGACAGAGCATTGGCCTTATCTATATCCCTTGAGAATTGGGCAAATGGGTAAGCCTGTTTGATTAAAAATAGCTCTTGTTGACTAGCTTAAGTTTTGAAATAAATTTGATGAAAAGTAATTAAAACTAATTTGATATTGCATAATAGACTAATCTGATATTATGTAATATTATTAATTTAAAAACTAATTTTATGGGGTGGGGTTGAATCAGCATGTCCATATGAATTACATACTAAAATCTGTCGGACATTAAATCTCAACCAAAAAAAAAAAAAATCTGAGAGTATTTTATATGTTTTAAAAAAAAATTATAGTGCAGACCCATTCATCTCTTGGTAGTAATGAGCAGACAAGCATCCAGTTAAAGATTAATTAATGAGTTCAATGTAGGAAGGGTAGCTATCTCAGTCGCTCTGATTAAGCAGCCCTTTGGGGATTAGACAGAAGAACTGCTGGTCAGTTTATAACATATGTCATTTGATGGCCAGCCTTTTTTTTCAAAATTAATTTGGTATAGATTAAGTTGTTAAGACTAATTTGATGATGGGCATTTGACAAGGTTTAACACAACCAGCACAGAAATCTATCAGTGATGTAATATTTATTATAATTGATGCCTACATCACAGGGGATGGATAAATGACAAATCATCGAAATCTTTGAATCAAGGTTGATGTGATTTTCTTGCACCTAAACTGTTCAAGAAAATTGTAATTTTTTTGACGGGCGTATCATGCTGTGGCGCGGCACTTTATTGTGTTATGCCATGGAAAAATCCACTGAAACATCGACAGTGAGAAGAGCCTCAGATCTCCCAATAAGTGCCAAAAGTACAGTATCGGGTGGCCTTGTGCATCACATCGAGTCAAGTACAGCCAGTGTTAAGTTAACGGGGCATCGTGTCAGGAAGCTCTCCGACACAGATTCAGATTTCTCTTCATCAGAGGAGGAAGAGAGAGACTACACAATTACAGAGATTGACCTGAATAAGGAAGTGGGACCTCCGTCAGGGCTCGAAGACACAGAACCACTCAGCGATGAAGATAGTGGGACCGTGACAGTGAAAAGCTCAAACAACCGGGAACAGTTAGATTCACTGCAGACATCGGAACCTAAAGTCAAAGTCATTGTAGAAGAGTCCAGACAAAAGTCAGAGCTGAAGAAAATATTTTCTGTGGACAGATTCAATCCTTTTGACAGAGATTTACACATGGAGGAGAACCATTATACAGAGGAAGTCATACCAGCTATCAGTGAACAGGATTTTAGATTCAAGTCCAGTAACGGTGTGTGTGTGTAAATCCTGATATTTCTGTATAATCCTTCATTTTTGAGTCATGGTTAAGTTAAATGTAAAGTTTTTAAATGAAGACATACATGCAGACCAGTCACAAAAGAAAAATTGATGGTCATTATGAGGATGTTTTGCAGATCTATAAACTGTGATGATAAAGGGAGATGGTTTTGCAGTCTTAATCTTATGCATATGTGTATCTCTAATTCAGGATCTAATGGCAGCTCTTGGACGGACATTTCTGATGACAATCCAGACATTACGAATGCTGACCTGGGACTAGCAGAGGATCACTTCTCTCACCCTGAGGCAAGTAACATTTTATTTGTTGACATTGTTTAGAAAAATTCTTGTAATTAATTGACTGATGTTTATAATCTCTGAATGGCCATTGATAGAATATTTTGAGTGAGAGGATACAAGATCTTGCTTGGATACAAAGTTCTTTTGATTATCTTGGTACAAAATGAACTACATATATGCACTTTCAAATTAGATTTTCATTTTGTATCTGACGTCTTTGTATTGATATGAACAGGGACATTTTGGGCTGAGTAGCACAGAGGAGATGGAGATGGCTATAGAGAATTGTAAAGATTTGATTGGTCAAGCCCAGCCTCATTCTGACCGACACAAAAATCTTGTCCAGAAACTGGTTCAACTGAGACTGAAGCTTCAGGAGTTAAAGGTAAACTTACCAAAGTTATAATGAAAAGGCATAAAATGCTAAAGATATTTGAACAAAACTGAGCAAATGAGAAATCTCATTCAAGCAATGAGTGTAACTGTGCATGTTTGTTTGTTTGTATGTTGTTTAACATCCCTTTCGAGAATTTTTCACTCATATGGAGACACTACCACTTGCTGGTGGAGAGCTGCAAATTTTGTCCTTTAGTCGGCACTCAGGGCCATTGAGCAGGGAGGGATCTTTCTCATGCCAGCACCTACTGCGACAACATTCTCAACCAAAAGACAACCCTGGACCTCCCACAGTGGGATTTGAACCCTGGACATGAGGATAAATTTCTTACTTCACGACTTTAGAGCAGACATTCTAACCACTGTGCCACACGGGGTGACTTAACTGTGCATGTATTTCTTCAACAGGATGGCCCAGAACCTGTCCCACTAGATGTTAAGCTGGTGGTGGGACACAAATTCCAGACCCAGGAGAGTCGGAGTACAAAGTACTACTGTGAGAAGTGTAACGCCATGATTCTGGGGGTCATACAGAAATGGTTCAAATGTTCAGGTAGCTATGTAACCTGGATAAAGCAGTTCATTTTGTAATTATGCAGTGTGTATGTTGTCAGGGGCATTAAGACTTCGCGTTTTGTTTTTTTTCAGAATGTGGATATAGCTGTCATGAAAAGTGTCTTAATACAATAACTAGAATGTGTGCCAGTCAGAAGGTTAGAAATCAGACAATTGGTGAAAGGTTATACATCTTATATTTAAAATAAGATATTTTATGTCTTAATGAATAAAATGAATACTTTTGTAGGTGCTGGATATCCCTGAATTCTGTCTTTCAATTTGTCCAAACAGAGGTTTATCTGCCCAGAACTACAGGTGTGCAGAATGTAGGAAAGCCATTTCATTCCGTAAGATTTTCTTTGTCAACTTACACATTTAATTCAGTAACATCAGTCAGCAAGTCATTGGATTTTTGCTGCCTACTCTCAATTAACTTTTTTTATCAAATCTCCGTAATTTTTTTTGGCATAGATTAAATCTCCATCCTTTTTATTGCCGTTTGCATCTGCCCCTTTATTGTTTTTTTCTTATATTCAATATATTTCAATGGTTATGGTCTTTCTTTCCCAGAGTCAGGTTTCAGTGAGCCTCGGCTTTGTGATTACTCAGGAAATTATTTTTGTGAACTTTGTCACTGGAACAATATTATGGTCATTCCTGCCAGAGTTCTACATAACTGGGACTTTGAACCCAGAAAGGTCAGTGCTCTTTGTATTTATGAGTAATATATCATAATGAATTTAAGATTTCTTGCTCAATTGAGCAATTAAACTGCTTGTCGAATATATACAGTTAATTCTCGATAAACCGCCACCTTTTGTAATTTAATAATCATGGCGGTATAACGAATTTGGCGATGAATTGAATTTCCCATCTTTTAGAAAACAAGAAGTATGCGTAGAGTTACTGTTCTTAGAAATACCATTTAGCGTTTCTATTTTTAATATAACATATACATGAAAATAACAACATATTTCTGATTGAAAATACTTCAAGTAATTTTTTTAAATTTACAATGTCGCTAAAACAAAATGTGCAGTTATGAAAGAAAGGCAAGTAAATGTGTATGCATGTAAATCTGCATGTATGATATTGAAAAAAAAAAAACTTGCTGGGTGGACTGTCGTGATATATTGCCGATAGTACGTAAAATGCATTCTTGAATAAATTCATTGTTTATGGCATTATTGATAATGAAACGTTCACAATTTATACCGTTTTATTATTTTTTCAGCAAACCTTACATTGTTAAAAGCAGAGATCATCAAAATAATATTGTTATCGGCGTACTAAGTTTAACAGTGACCGCTTTCGTGGCGAAGCCGTGAACAAATATTTTTATTAAACAGAAAACAAAATTATTATAACAGTTCATGTTAAAATTATTGTTTATTTAATGCTCGTTTAATTACTTAATTGCATGTACCTTGTCTGCCTTTGCATGCTTTACAACAGGGATGGCGTCAACCAATTAGCCGTGCTTCACTGACCACATGCACCTGTGGCGGTATATCGAGATAATTGACATTTAAAAATGGACGTTTGTTGTGAAAACAGGGTGGCGGATGGTGGTATGCGAATTTGGCGTTATAAAGAGAATTTTATATAGCAGGAAAAACGTTCTTGGGAAATCATGGCGGTATTGCGAAAATGGCGATGAATCGAATGGCGATAATTTGAGAATTGACTGTTTGTGTTAATTTGCATACAAAATGCATGTGTATGCACATGTAAAATTAATTTACATTTTTAGAACTTAGCAATTTTTAAATATTACATGATTTTCTTATGATGTATGAAAAAAGAGAGTAAAATTATTTGCTACCTGCTGGTTATTTGTAGAATTTTACAATTTCTTAATAACAAATTGATAACGTTTTAATTTAATGACAATAAACCTGTTACAGGTGAGTCGTGCCTCTAAGCAGTTCCTGAAGCTGATGACCTCTAAATCTGTAATGAGAATCCAGGATGTCAACCCCATGCTGTTCAATTTCGTAGAGGAACTCAATGATGTCAAGGTCAGTTTGAAAATTAGGTCACATTTTACAAAAGAACTACAACTTGAACAAAAAAATCAGGCCTACATTTAACAAAACTGAGACCAAAAAAAAAAAATCAGGCCTGCATTTAACAAAAGACATACCACTCAGACCAAAGCCTCTAGCTTGTAAAATCTTGCTAACTTATTATTCTTACAAAAATAATTTCCATTTACTTTCAATTTCATCCTGGAAAAAATATCTAAATAAATTTTAAATTAATGTTAAGGAGTATTATATTTTTGGC